AAAAAATACGTCACTGGAACAACTAATAACTTCCTTCTTTCCTTCTATTATTTCCGGATCACTCAATATATGTGCCTCAATCGCGCATAACTAAAATCTCCATCTTTCCCGCATAATTATCATAAATAGCTGCATGATAACAATTTATATGATCATCTATCTCGTCTTTCTGTTGTTTTGTATTATGGAACAATTCTGCTAACGATCTTTGTCCTTCTTTAGTTAACTCTCTTTGGAAAAATGGATCGTTTTTATATTCTTCCCCATTGTATTTAACATCTTTGTAGTGTTGTGAATGTCTTTCTTTCATATTCTTCCATCGTTTTTCTATCTCTACTTTGTTGTTAAATAACTCTTCACTAAATCCAGGTGAAATAACTTGTTTATTTAATTTTTCAATCACACACTTCTTGTCAGTTTCTAATCCATCGTTCCAATTTGCTGGAACATAAACTGGAGGTATTTTAATAGTTTTACTTGTATTGTACTCACCATTTTTATTTATGAAATAGATAAATCCATTTGATGCAGATACAATAGAGTATTCTTCAGATTCTTCTTGGTAAGGAATGGCTTGAGTAATAAATCCGCTATCTTCAATAATAACTGGGAACCCTGGTATTTTAGTTCCAGTATTAATATCTATTGATTCAATATAATGGGATTGCGTTGGAATAAGTACTTCCTTTCTTCCATCATGATTATAATCTGTAACGACCGGACTGGCAAGAATAGGAGAATGCCCTGATGTACTTTGAGTCCATCTAATTTTTGGAGTAATATGGAATAATTTATTTTCCTCCAGTAACATATCCATTACTTTATGTTCTTTTCCACCTCTAATATTATTAATTTATTTCTTAAAAAAAATATTAAGGCAACAAACATTGGCTCTCTGTATTTTGAATTAATTTCTTCTACGTCTGAAGGTGGTTGGTTGTCTTCAATAGGTTTGTCTTTTTTTTGTTTATTATCATTATTTCCATTAACCGGACTGTTTTTAGTGTCATCTTTCACGCCGTATTTTGATGGTTTTCTTGGATCAAAGACACCCAAAGTTTGTGCAATGAGAATAGTGATAAGGAATATTGACAGTTTCATTCTTTTATTAATATTTTAAGTTCTTTTTTATTTATTTTTTATTTTTTCCTTTTTTTAAAAAAACTCATTTATTCTACTTGATGCAAGCTCAATACACTTCACCCTTATTTGAACCAGTTCAACAAATGAATCAAAAACAGAAAGCACAACAAAAGGACATTAAAATATGTGACGCTGAATTTGATACTTGTTTGTTTTTAACGTTTCTTTTATATTACATCCAAATACTAACTTAATAGTTTATCCAATAGATGTGCATATAAAACGACCAACATTTGATGCAAAGAAACAACCCATAGAAACTCAAATCAAAGAACCTGGAGATTGATTGTTAATTGACTTGTTTTAGTTATTCAATTTTTTTTTGTTATTTAATTTTTTTTTGTTATTTAATTTTTTTGTTAATTAAATTTTCTTAATACCAAAATATATTCAACAATCATTTTTTTTTCATTTCTGAATGATTTTTCCATTTTTTATAAGGAATATATTAAAACTAAGAAACTTGAAATTTTAAACAACCATTTAATGTCTCAATATGAAAGTGGAATTCTTATTAAAACTTCAACAATTGGAGGCAAAAAGAAGACACAAAAGAAATCACAAAGTCAAAAGAAAATATTTCAAAAATTAACTCATGAAGAAGAAAAACAATTAAGTAGTACATATCAACAACTTATTAAAAATTATTGTTATCCAACTTTTAATGCTATACAAAATCTTCTAAATGAAAATAGAACTATACCATTACTTTTAAATAATAAATTATTAGAGTATTATGGCTATAATGAACTTCGTGTTCCGTTTGGAATAGAGAATGAAAGTATACCATTAGATTATAGTTTTATTGAAGATATGAAAAAGAAAATTAAAAATACACCACCTCAATTGGTATTAACAATAGAAGAAATTGGATATCAAGTCATTCAATTAAAAGGAAAAATAAAATGTTATTTTAAAGGAGGAGTTCCTAAGAATCTACAACTTGGAAGAACAACAAAAACATCTACTTCTATTATCTGTGTTTCAAATGATCGATCATTTATTAGAACTTTTAGAGTATTAAGTAAAACTAATAATAATAATGATATGCAAAACTACTTTGAAAAAAATCAAATTGATGATACTTTTGTTAATAGTGTATATTCTTCTCATGGAAGAAATCTCTATTATACATCAAATCAATTTATTATATGGTTTAATTCAATCAAACAATATATAATAAATAAATTAAATGAATTAAAATATTATTCAAAAGCAATAATATATATGCATGAATATTTCAAACAATTTTTCACAGAATATTCAACAGACATATATGATTTAATATTCTTCAATGATACTTATTGTTATAATTTATCTTTATTATCTCCTTCTATTCAGAGATGTATTAAAATTCTCAAAGAAAAACTTAATGTTACTAATCATACACAGGAACTTCAATTTAGAGATAAAGTAGAAGTAAATTTGAATAATATGACTAACAAAGTAATTACCAAATTTGATTTTTTAAGGCTTGTTATAGATGATTTAAAATCAACAAACTCATTACTGTCTGAAATTATATTTAAATTTGATAACAATAATTTATCTTATAATGAATTTACTTCTTTTGAAAATAAAAAAATACCATTAATTCATCAGTTTAATATAAATCAAAGTATTCAACCTTCATCTGATTTATTTAAAACAAAAAATAATTATAATATCATTTTCTATGATTTTATTACTAATAAAATTATTAAAGAATTAGAAACTAAAGAAATAATTAACCTTCAAGAGTTTGTTATCAATAATAAAATTTCTGAACTATATATATTAAAATTATTACCTGTATTAAATCTTCATATTGAAAAAGTATGGAAATATCCGTATCAAATCAATACTAATTCAAATCAATTAATTAACTGTGCATCCCAATTACTTAATATTAATAATGTTCATCAAAACCAAATCATTTTTGTTGATTCTTTTGAATACTTATCAGATGCTCTCCAAGAATCAAAAATACTTGTTAAAAATGATAGTACTGATCATACTTTATTTGTCCAAAGAGAAAATGTTATTCAACAACACCTTTATGCAATAAAAGAAGATGGAACATTATTAAGACCATTAATTAATGAAAAAGGTATTTCTAATTCAGAAATGATTAATTGGATCATAGAAATAATTCAAGGTATTTCAATAACAATATATCCACCACAAAAGATTTATTTTATAGTGCACGAACAATATAAAAAGATATTTTGTAACGAAGAATTATTAAATAAATTAAAAACAATTTATGAAAATGATATGATAAATGTAATTTATATAGAAGATACTATATATCCAATTATTCCAATTAACATCATTTTTAATAAAGTACTTGAATTAATCTTATTCAAAAATCTACATTTAACAACTCAAACAATAGAAAGTGAAATTAGATATTGTTTAAACTCAACGCTCTTAAATACACTTCTTTATGAATGGTATGAATTACGCAAATTAAAAACTGTTGATTGTCGTAAAATAAAAAGTTTAGTTAATCAATTTACTCACAAAACACCTTGCCTTGTTATTATAAATGGAATAAAAGAAGGTGTTAATTATAATGATCCACCAAGTAAGGTATTTAATTTAGATTGTGTTCCTCCAATTTTTAGACCTATAATGAGTGATTTAATTTGTGTATCTCCTGAACTAAAACTATGTAAATCAAAAGATGAACAAATAAAATTCTTTTCAAAATATAGTGATAAATATTTCTTCAAAATAGATGAAATATTTTTAAATAAATGTGAACCTCAAAAGAGATTGTTAATTGAATAATTCAACAATATCATCATATTAGTGTTTCTTATCAGTCTAAAATCTTTATTAAAGTAATAAAAATAATTATGTTATTGCTTGTTATATAAAACAAAATTTTAAATATGAAAAGTCAAAAATAAAACCCTAAATCAGGGTATTGAATATAAAGAACTTTGAATTCATTTTTAGATTCTCAGAACAAGAGATAATCAAAAATTAGAAAGTAAAATGACCAACACCATTATCGCTAAGCACACACAACAACAAAGAAAAATAATTTGATAAATAAAGAAAAAAAATACCTTCAAAAAGAATACAGAATACATCAATTATAAAGCGATATCTCTAATTAAAGGAATAAAGAACAAATGACAGATTTTTCAATAGGACAAGGACATATGATATTCAGTGATGATAGTTATTAATACAATTCATCTTATGAAATATTCACATTAATTGACATATATTTTTGATACAATAATCATGAATTCATGTTATTTCAATTTACATTTCAATATAAATTACAGTCATAAAAACATACGATTAATTTAATGAGAATAATTATCTGAAGCATTTCATAATTCATTAGCATGACAATTTTAATTAAAAAACGAGTTAATGACAAACAAAACGTTCATCTACTCTTCTAAACCCAGATTTCATTCAATATTAATGATTATAATAAATTAATTATAATTAATTATATTTTACAATTGTTTGCACAACTAAAAGGGTCAATCTTAAAAATTATATTTAAGTTCATGAAAACGCTTTATGTTTCAGATGTTGATGTAAGTATTGATGAAAATAAATTAAAAGAACTTTTTAGTCCTTATGGTAATGTTATAAATTGTTTGTTTTTTTTCTTCAAGTTTCATTTAAAGGTCATAAACTTTTTTACTACATATTGGTTAAATACTTTTTAAAACGTAAAAAAGAGAAAAATTTTATTTAAAAAATTAGCAACTATCAAAAAATCAAGTAAAGGTACAAACGATTTTTATTATGCATTTATTGAATATGACCGTCCTGAAGATGCTGCAAAAGCATTACATGAAATGGACCAACACGAACTAGCTGGTAAAAGGTTAAATGTAAAATTCGCTAAACCTAAGGATGGAAGACCTTATTTACAAAAACCTTTTTATACTGAATTTAAAAAAAGGGACCCTCCTTTCGATTCCCCAAGAGATTCCCCTAGAAGAAGAAGTTTCTCTCGTGAAAGGGGAAGGTTAGATGATGGTTTATATCCTCCTAGTCATGACCTTATGTATGATGGTTCACCTATGAATAGGTATTTAAGAAAAGACATCTCTCAACAAAGAGGGCATAACGAAAAACGACAATATCGTGATCGATTCGAATCCCGAATTGAGAGACCTCGTGAAAAAGATTATTATTCAGGGGAGAGTTTTTATCTTCAAGACCGATATGCTCGTGATGATTACTATGGAAGAAGTGATAGATACTCACTCAGAGATAATTGTAATGACAGAGAAATTGATTATGACAGATATAACAGTCGTAGAATTGATAGAATGTCAGATCGTATACCAAGTGAAAGAGAAAGAGATCACATTACTGTAGATCCATTAGTAAATGATAGACCTCTAATGGATAGACCAAATTCTGATAGAGATTATTATCCTTCTGATAGAATGAGAGAGTCTGGTCCTTATAGAAGAGATGATATTGGTCGTGATATTCCTTATTCTCGTGATAGGTATGATCCTCATTATTAAAGAATTGTTTAATCAAAACATAAATAAGTAAAACTTTTAGGTCTATTTCTATTTTTTTCTAAAAAACCATTAAATTTTCATTGTATATTTTTTATTAAAGTAAAATTTGAAATAATATTATATAACAAAATAACAGAAATTTAAAAATCCTTACTTCATTCTAATTGTAGAACATGAATTATTAACTAAAATAAACTAATAAACTTATAAATGAATTAAGAAAAAAAATAATAGTTAATATGAAATGCAATAAAAATAATTTTTAGTGATAACTTGACTATCGTGTCACTGTATTCTGTATTCAATTATTTTATAGTTGTGATGAGAGGAAGTCATAAACTAAAAATGTCATCCAATGAAAATTGAAAATAAAATAATACTATAATGGGGAAGTAAACTGTAGTTAGTGTTAATATAATAAATAAAATAGTAAAGATGTTATAGTGAATGATATAATTTTTAGTAAAGAAAATAAAATATAGTTTTCATTCTTTTCTATTATTCTTGTTATTTGTTATTTTACTTTATTCTTTCTTGATTTAAAAATTCAAATGAAATGGTTATATTAATTTATTATTTTTATATTATTTTATATGTTATTTGATGTTGTGTATTATGAATTATTTATTAATAAATTACAATTTTATTTATTTTATTTTATAAATATAAATTAAATCATTTTGTGGTTCATGTGTTTTAATTGATGAAAAATATGAAATGTTAAGATTTCTTTTATCTTCATTAATTATTCTTGTTGTATATTCTAAATTAACAATTAATCTCTTATCTTTCTGTTTATATATTATAATAATACTATATTGTTTAAATGTTGATTCAATTAATAGAGGAGTAGTACTTGAATATATTATTTCATGATGTTTTCATATGATTAGTTATTAATTTATATGCTTTTTTTCTTGTTCATTATTCATTGGAATGTGATGTAACAGATGATTTGATAAATGTATCAATTAAATCATACATCATCATTTCAATCATATTCAAATGTATTTGATTTAATTCATAGTTACAAAGACATATATTTTGAAATGATTAATGAGATTATATTTTATTAATTAAATTAATAATATTCATTCTGATAATATTTTTAATTGATTAAATAATATTAAATCAAGTTATTGGACAAGATAATATGTATGATATAATAATGGATAATGTTATTATGAAAATAAATACATTAAATAATGAATAACAATAATTATTTAAACTTATTCATTATTATTACTGTTTTTGATTATTATCATAACAACAATTAAATCATCTAATAATAATATATTGAATGATATTGTTTAATATTAATTCATAAAGTATATTCATTATTATAAATAAGTCAATTTAGAAATGTAATATATCAATAAAATATGATATAAAAATTAATTTATCAAATGTATTACAATATATTACAAAATTAGGATAAATAAAAGTATTATTAATAATATAAATTATCATATTTTTGATAATAATGAGATCTATTGTTTTATAACTTCTATACATTCAGATAATATATTTTTATTGATTTCTTATTAATATACTCATTAAAACATATTTCATTAACATTAAATAATAATTTGTAATGAACACTAATACAAAGTGATGATAAAACAATATAAATATTAATAATTTTATTATATTTAATATTTATTGTATATTATCTCATTTTAATAATACAATATGTAAAATAAGAAATTAAGTTAAATGATAATCAATTTCATTTATTAATTATGTTAATGTTTTGTTCCATATTTAACAAATTATTTTAATAATGAAATAATAAATGATAAATTAGAGTTAAACATTCACTTATTAATTTCATTAAATCAAAATTCATTTCTTTATTTATTTTTCATTTATAATGTTTTTTATCTTATCATTTTAATATCAATATATTTTAATGTTTATTATATTCAATATTAATGATAAATAAATTAATAATTCATTCATCATATAATATGTTTATTCATTCATCAATTTAAATGAACATATTATTTGATCATTTATTAGAATATTTACATAACTTATTAATGAATAAATAGATTTCATTTAAATTAAATATAATATAATTGAATGATAAAATCAATTTTAATTTATTAAATAACTTTTTAGAACAAGAAGTTTTTGTTTAATTGATAGATTCATGAAGATGAGAATAAAAATAAATAATGATAAGATTTAATGAAAATGAAATATTTCTTTTTCATCATTCAAAATAACAAAATAAGTAAATATAAAAAGATAATATTCTATTAATAAAAAAGATAAAATAAAAATAAAAATTATTATAATTTTATTATAGTTTTTTTTCAACGTTCATCTTTTTACTTCATTACATATTTTACTTCAGATATTGTAATTGATAGCTTTTTTCCTTTAACCTCTTTATCTTTACTTCCCCTTTTACCTAACTCACGATTCTCTTTAAAAGTGGTCCATATTATTTTTTCAATTTTATCACTGACCTTGTTTGTACCTCTTTTATTTCATCTAAATTTTTTATAGATATTTCTAACATGCCTTAACATGTTTATTAGCTATCTGATCTTCATCCTTTGTGACAGTGGACCTTAAACTATAAAGGTCTATGAGAATATTAAAAAAAATATTTATAGGATTATTGATAAAACAGTTGTTGAACCATTTCTCGACAAGACGAAAGAAGTAAAAAGCAACACATCAAATAATAATAATAAAATATTAACAAATACCTTTCTTTTAACATGGAAAAGTTTTGTTTTATTGATTTAGTTTTTGGTATGTCGTTAATAATTTTTATTTATTTGTTATTTATAAGAAAGTAGTTTTATAAATCAAAAGGACAAAAAAATTAAACTGTAGTTGGTAATGAATCCAAAGAATTAACAAAGATTATAAAAACCAACATTGGTTGCGGTGTTTGTTGTATTTATATTTTTATTCTAAGTTATCCTAATATGAAAACACTCTTAATTAAACCAAGGAGTTATGGGTAAAACCAATTCAACTAAAAAATACAAAGAAGAGTGTTTGATTAATGTTGTACTGCTCACAATTAAAGGTATATTCAATAAAAATACTACAACACACAAAAACCAAGAACAACTGCTATCATAAAAATATTTCTTTTTATAAATTTATTGTAATGATATAAGAGTACTCAAAATTAATTCCTAAGAAATCGGAGTCATAAGAGGTCTATAGAAAAAGGGATTATAGGCAATGTCAATTAGTCCTAAAACACTAACAAATAAAATGTAGTATCTAAAATTAAATATTATTTTTGGAGAATTTGAATTACATTAAATAAAGAAATAAAAATAAACAAGAATGAAATAATACATCTTTGAATAAAGAAATTCTATTTAACATTCTATTTTTCAATGCTAAAATTTATAAAAATATTACAAATACAAATAGAAAGTAATAAAGGATTCTACAATAACTATTTAATAAGACTCAAAATTCATTAAATAAAAGTTCAACAAACAATAAACATTAAATTTTAGAAACACAAAAGAGTTAAATTAAAAAATTGAATAAGAGAGATGAAAAAGTTGTATGATGAGGGTTTTAAAAATAATTTTAGGATTTAAAGAATAATTTTGGTGACAAAACAATAAATTATACTTTCACGGATTTTAAATTCAGAGAACTAAAGTTGATAAACAAATACCACATACTAAATTAGAACCACTTTACTTTATAAATACTTTATTGTTTTGAAATCCAGAAGAAATAATAATATGAGTGTCAGTAATAAAGTAAATTAGATGGATTAATATAAACTTATAGAGAAAACTATAAAAAACACAGACTTGGCAAAGAAACTGATAAAAGTACTTACTATTCTTGAAACACTGAGAATGGTTTATACTGCATTAAAAATACCAAGAATATTAGAAGAAACGAATAAGAAAGTAGAACTTAGCAAATAAACGAGGATTATTTAATGCAAATGCAACTAACTCTTCATCGTTATTTGATAGAAGTATTAATAAAAGGTGATAAAAGAAACATAGGTTTATAAAAAAGACTTTGTGTCAAGATTATCTAATTGATAAATAATGGTCTTTAATTGACAATTATCCGAGTTTAAAATTTGTAGAATGTTTTAATTCTATTGAAATGGCTGATGTAGAGATTATAAAAGTGTTAGCACTAAAAAGCATTAAATTCTATTTAAGATTTATCATATCTGAATTTGAAACGTATGACTTTTTTTGAAGAAATAAGGACTGGATGTGGAACTTATAATATCTTTTATTCAGTAAATCTAAAATGTACATTAGAATAGGAATTATTTGTTTCAAACAATGTTCAAAAAAACTCCATATGTCTGTATGAAGATTGTAGTATTAAATGAACTTTATCTTCTTACTGATGCAAATGTTTTTGTTGAAGGTTATGGTCCTGATTTATAAGACCGTTATATATCTTACAAGACCTGATGTATCTGCTACTAACAATTGTTCTATTCACTTACTATCATCTCTTGTTAACTTAAGAATTAATCATAAGTGAAAGATATAAGTTGGGAATTCTTGGTCCATTTGAAAGGAAATAAACAGTTCCTAAAAGAAACAGGAACAATTGGTCCAGATGAAAAAGAAGATTTTACTTAGATTAAGTGAGACCCATTCTCGGTTCTTCTTTAATTAAAGTACAATGTTAGAACATAATTTATCAGAAACATTTAAAAGAATTTCACAAATTTTATTAAAGAATTAGTTTTGCATCATATCATTGGTGACAATAAATAAATCTTTCTTTGGGTATTTGCTGTGAATTAATAAGAGTTATTATTCATACATTTCTTTTTATTTATTGTACTGAATTGTTTATTCATTTTCATTTAATAACTAATTGAATACTTCATTTTATTACCATTCAAAATACTAAATAATTGGACATGAATATATCTATAAAATATAGAAAAGTATCCTTAATATTTAAAATTGTTCTTGATACTTCTTTATATTTCATTGTTATATCAATTCAATTTTTTA